CTATTGGGTTTTTTTTTTTTGTTGTTGTTGTAAATCTGTTTTATGCTTGATTCAAATACTGATTTAACTTACATGGCTAAATGTGCAAACTTCGAGCCTATCTCGATTTATTTCGAGTAGCATGTCTACGTAGTATATATTACATAAAAAAACCATGTTTGAATCAGCTTTCATATAAGTGATAGGTCCATTGTCCCTTCTTCTCTGCCACTAATCTATATCCAACCTGTAATGCAAATTATCCAGTTATACTAAGCTAGATATCCAATTTTGAATAAAAATAGCTCTTGATTAGTAAACCGGGTAGTGACAAGGTTGCCTATCCATCAAACTTCTGGTGCTCCGTCAGGACTTGTGGCCAAGTTCTGATCGACATGGGGTTAAAATTTAAATTGTGGTACGAAATAGCCTATTTGTGCAAATCTCCCCATCCAAAATGATAGAGATTTTTGGGAAGAAATTCAAAAATAACCAGATTTACAAGTGGTCATTCAAAAATAGTCACGCTTTCAAAAGTAATCGAAGTTTAGCCACTTTTTATGTAAAGATAAATCTGAGCGAAAACACTGTTCAAAACCCAAAAAATACGCCAGCATATTATGTTGGAGTTCCAGCATAAGTATATTTGAACTTCAGCATATTATACTGGAGTTCCAGTATGAGTATACTGGAACTCCAACATATTATACTGGAGTTCCAGGATAAGTATACTAGAACTCCAGCATAATATGATGGAGTTCCAGCATAAGTACGCTAGAACTCCAGCATAATATGATGGAGTTCCAGCATAAGTACGCTAGAACTCCAGCATAATATACTGGAGTTCCAGCAAAGATACCGGTTCAGTATAATATGCTGGAAGTTCATACACAAGTGCTCGAATCTTCAGTATATTATGCTGGAACTTTCCGTGTGTTGGAGTTCCAGCATAATATGCTGGAAGTTCATACACAGGTGCACCGAACTCCAATATATTATACTGGACCGGTCTCTGTTGCAGCAAAATAGTAATTATTTCAATGACTTGGCAAATACTTGCTATTTTTGAATGACCAATCCGAAAAATGGTCAGCCCGTGGTATTTTTACAGATTTTTACATGGAAAACAAAAAGTCCTCTTATAGAAGTCCATATATCACAAAATAATTATTCAAAATAGAGGTATTTTTTTATTTTTCATTTTTTTAATAGAGGTATATTTTATTATATACATCATATATGCTTAAAAGTTGGTATACAAATTTGATTCTTCTTTTGATTAATCCAGGGGCAACATTAAAGGTAAATGATTGGCCTAAAGTTGTTAGCTACCTTGTATTGCCAGTACAATAAAACAATAAACTGCTTAAGTCTATTGAGGTATTTTCCTGTATGAAATGCTGATATCTCACGGTAATAAAATTGTGAAGAATTGCCTTTCCACCAAAGAAACAAACATTCATATGCAGAAGATACAAATTCTGAAAGAAAACTCAGACGATATGATACATATGGGAAGATAACAGCTAATAAAAAAGAAGGAATGTTACTACAACGACGCACCTGATATCTAACTCAATCAAAAGTAACTATATTTATGCGCTAATATCCTATATAGATATTAGATAATAGGAGATTTACTCAATTTCTAGCTTTATGGAATTAGCTCGAACATGTTTTGCCTGATAAAAACATTTTTATTTATTTTCTTCAAATATATTTTTTAATATTGTCCTATTAAAGTTAAATGTGCTTGTGAGTTGTGACATTCAAACTGAAGTAGCTTTTTGGAGTAATTTTTTTTAAGAAGTGTAAAGATCATGGAATCACTAAAGTTACTCTTATGACTAGGCGTTCAAACCGAATCACAGAACCGCACCAAACCGAAAAATCAAACCAAACCAAACCGATTAAATTTTTTGATTACGTTTGGTTTGAATTGGTTTGCTATTGAGTAAAAAAACCCGAACCAAACCGACATATAAATATATAAAATTTATTATATTTTTGAGACTTTATAATGAATTTTCTTTAGAAAATATAGAAATATTTGGGATCCTCTCATGTATTAACCTTGAAAATGTAAATTAACGAAAAATTCTTGTTAGACGACTAAGAAAATAACTATCATGTGTTACTAAAAAAATTCTCCCATTAGAATATTTTAATAGATCATATGTTTGTCAATTTTTTTTTCCATATTTATTAAACATATATTCACTTATCAAAGCTTTATCTATAATTTTAACAAAGTAAGATTGAAATAATATTCATGTAACAAAAAAAACCCGAAAAATCCGACAAAATCGAACCAATCCAAACCGATATAGTTGGTTTGGTTTGGATAAAAACGGAGCTAACCCGGTCCATGTACACCCGTATTATAAATATGTGATAAGTTCGCCTTGACTTTCAAAACAAATACATTTACATATATTAAAGTTTCAATAAGGCATTTAAGGACTTATATGTAGTAGAGTTCCTTGTTTCATTAAGACT